TATATATATATATATATATATATAACTAAACCTATCCAATTCCATATTTTACTCTTTCTAATCTTTATATTATTAATTAATTGCTTAATCTCAAATTAGTTACGGGTATTTATACATGTGCAGGGAGGAGATCCAACGTATCAAAGCTGGAAATCCTGATATAAGCCACAGAGAAGCCTTTAGTGCTGCTGCCAAGAACGTAAGATTCTATTAACAAATATGTTCGGTCGCCAGTAAAATTGTTTGAAAACCTTGCACGCCTATTAGGATTCACACATAAATTAACATACAAGTAAGTATATGTTATTAAAAAAAATATTTCCCGAAACTTGGGTCATTAAAAAATCTTTACCGAAGTGGCATATAGACCGATGTTTTCCTCGAGAAAACTAGCTAGGGTTTAGTTACCAAAATAAAAAAAATAGCTAGGGTTTCTATATTGTTACCATACACAGTAGGTGTGTATACGTATGTATTGCGTCTGTAAATATATGTAGCTGTCAACTTTGAGAAAGAAAAAAAATAGATATAGCTCTGGGATATTAGGACGACTTAGTACTTTGTCGGATCCGACACAAGTTGAATATGAGTTTTTGTACGTACGTTGTTGTGTGTTTTGTAGTGGGCCCACTTCCCACACATACACTTCGGGCTTGCACCAGACAATCAGCCCGTGAAGAAGGCTGAGATTACAAACCAGGTATACTATCCATGCCACTCACACAACTAATAAACCCTAAAGCTTATGAAATAAAATACATTATCGCATTTCAGAAACCCTAACACACACATATATACGGTCCAGTATGTTAAAATATATTATACGCTTTTAACTTTGTGATGGCGTAGGAGGGAGAGGGCGTGGTCATGAAAGAAGGGTTCTACACTCCTGCAGCCAATGTTGGTGTGGCACCCTTTTAGAGGTTCCGTCGAGTAATATGGAAATCCAATTTAGGGTTTCTCCCTTCATGAGTTATTATATAATGTGTCATCTTATGCCGTGTAATCAACTGTTTGTTGCTGGTGTTTGCGTTAACTGTTATTGTATAATTAGGAGACTGCTTAAACTAAATATCACTGATATTATTAATTCCTTGCCTTTTATCATGCTGCTACGTCTCTTTCAATTATATCATGCTTATATATATATATATATATGCTTCTTAACTATATTTTCAACTGCTTTTCACTTTATAGATATATATGACGTAATTTTACCACGTAAACGCGTATATTCATTACTATTCATAACACGGTGCATACACATGATAGATACTTAGACAATAGCTCTCAATGAAGAGGTTATTAGTTCGCAGATGTAAGATTCTAAATGGTAAATTTGAAAAAGATAAAACTATAGAGTAAATAACGTTGAAAACCCTGCCATCCCAAGTTCCAACAATTCATATAACCTTAGTTTGGGTATGTGAATGGAAAACGAGGCTCGTGGTCAATAGGAAGAGGGCAAGCGCTTAAAGTTATCGGACCGCACATGGGCTACTAAATCTCAGCCCAATAACAATGAACTTTGAGATTCCCGTTCGACAACTTGAGCTACGGAATTCCTACCGTTTTTATCCAGATAAACGACACGTAGTCTTTTCCGTGATCCAAAAACAGGCAGGTAGTCCAAAGCCAACAAGGAAAAAAAACGGAACTTGATCAGACCAAACAGGGTGTCAATTTACATCTGAGGTGCCCCGGTCTAATCCGAAAATTAACGGTTTTTGTGTCTAGATTTTCCGATCGAAAAAAATTGGACTTTCGGACCAAATTCAAATCGGGATTTGGATTCGAATCAAATTGGTCCAAAAGCCGGATACTTAAAAAAAAAGAAAAAAAATAAGATTTATAAAGAGAATTATACGGGCAGAGTCAAACCTCATTGGCTTAACTATATAGATCCGAAAAAAATCGGACCAACCCGAATCCGAAACCTTTAGACCAAGTGCGGGCTGACCCGATTGATCCCCTACCCAAACTTGTAGCCAGATTATCCGACAAAAGGGCTGAATCTACAATAACTAGAACGACTTATAACAAAAATTCACGAAGTTTCATTGGATTATCAATCTGTTACAAGTTAGATGAACAAATACATAATCAGATTCTTGTATTCCTTAATCCTTATGATGAACTCAGTCCAAGAGCAAAGCACAAACAAGAGAAGAAAAAAATCCAGAACTTTACACCCTCCTATACGTTGATGATGGTATATACATACTTCATCCCCACTTTCTGCAAACATTGCATAGCTTATGGATTTAACAACCTTTCTGTGCTTAAAACAGAGGAAATTTCTTGTCCGTTGATCTCTTTGATGCCCGGATAAGATATACCATGTTCCGGTTTGATCCCCAGCACAAGAGCAACCATGGCCTCAGCTATTATATACCCTTCGAGCCGTTCAAGTAAACCTGAGACTGAATAATCGTGTGGCCGATTTTAAATCCCGGAACCACTGTGAAGCCTACTACTTTCGCCCGAGTTGGACTTGACAGTAACTTCCTATCACGTTTCCTTTGGATATCCTCCATGTACACCATTGAGAAATCCACCCCTCTCTCGACTTGAAAAATCTCAACCACGGGGTCAAACGACAATGCTAACTTGTGAAGGCTCCATATCGTGCTAGCCATGTTGACAAACGACTCGTGGAATGCGCTCAGAGACCTCCAAGAGCTCAGCACCGCTTCAGTTTGATCCATATTGCTGAATATAGACAGCTCCATGTTCGGGTGTATGAGCTCTTGGTACTTCTTTTCGCAAAATTTTGAGAACTCACAACCGTCTCTGTCTGAATTCAGCAACTCCATTGGATTGCTTGATACATGTTGCATTAATTCCCTAAGTGAACTACTAGTCTTGCCAGAATCAGAAGCAAGCCTATCACATTCGACGACTTCAACCTCATCAAGACCAAATCCTTCTGCATCAAAACCTCGAAACATAACCAAACAGGCGTATGATAACAATGCATAACGATTGTGTCCCTTTTTAGCATAAACTATGTCAGGATGAACTGAATTAGCCGCCAAATCCAAATCCCATCCAGCTTTTCCCATCAGCTCGATCAAAATCTTGGTGAACTTCTGAGCAGCTTTACAGGCATCGTGTAGCAAAGACTCAAAAACCTTAACCGATAATAGAATATCGGTGGGTGATACCGCATTAGCAACCAATTTCTTCGACAATTTCGAATTGGATTTCTGGATTTCACCTAGTTTGTTCCTCAGAGTCCAAACTTGCAAGTCCTTCTCGTCGATCTCCGCTTGCAATCGGTTCGACACGGTTTCCAAAGCCCTGAGCTTGCTCTGATTCTCCTGCACCTGTGATTCCAAGTATGATCCAATTGCCAGATCGTGCTCAAAATCTGAATTTTTGCGAAAATCCTTGTAGAAACGCTTCAAATCAGACAATCTCTGGAGGTGAGAGACCAGAGCCCTGTCAGCTGCTTTCACGCTCTCCTCCGCGAAAGGCGCGTGCGCAGCTTGCAACTGAAGGTACGAAGCTTCGAAAGACGAAACCGCTGCGAATGCCGACGAAATCAAGCTCTGACACATCTGGGCATCCGATTTCCTGAGATGGGTCGGCTTCTCCGATCGATCAGGTCTCCGCTCCACGTTCAAATTCCCTGTCGGGGCATCGTCCGACGGAGACCCAGGAGTGGGGGTTTTGGCACTGAGAGGCTTATCGGGTTTGATGACGACGACTTTCTGATCGGTGATGAAATCCTCGGCGGAATCCAAGAGCGCGAAGCCTTCGGCGTCGGCCCCGCCGTCGTTGTCTTCCTCGGAGAAGAGCTCGAAGGTCTTCGTCTTCACGGCCATTGCCAGTTTCTGAAACATCCCGGAGAATTGCGGGGGACGCGTAGCTGTTGCTGTATTGATCGCAGACTTTTCCATTTCTCGCATCGCGCAACGAAATCGAATGAATCAAAGCAAAATTTACCCTTTTCAACGAAATCCAGTTGATTTCTGGGATAGAACTGAGAATTTTCCAAGAGTGGCAAAGAGCGAAACTTTCGGGAGGTTTTGCAATGGTTCTTCGGATGCCTTTGAAGGAAGGAATGCGGTATGGGTTTGCAAAGCTTTCCCTTTGCGTGTCCATTTATTTTTCCCTTTTCCTATTTTATTTTTAAAATGTTTTTTTTCATCTCTTTCTTTTATTTATTTACTCATGTTGTTTTTAGAAGGTTCTTGAACAATTAATTACATCTCCTTGTTTGTTTAACTCAATATAAATCTGATACGTGGAAATTCCAAATTCGTATTTCGAAATTGAATAAAAAACACAACTTGAATTAATATTCTCAAAAATCGAAAATCGAAAACAAAAGTACTAACTAATAAAATTATGAAACCTGAACCGACTGATCTTATTGATATCGTAACATCGTGCCACTTATACATTATATCTGTGGTGATGATTTATAAATCTTTTCATGAACTACATGTCTAGATAGTTTTCCACCTAAATCCTCCAATAAGCTGCAATTAATACAAAACCCCATATATGCATTATTTTTTAGATATGCCACGTGGAGAACAAACTCTGTTTTTTTTTCGTTAATACAAAAGATTATTTATAATTATATACATACATATATATATATATATATTATAGTTTCCCTTATTTTTATGTATTTTGTCATTATATTTTTTGTGCAAAATATAATTGACCACCACGACTAATGATAGCTTCAAAGACAACTTTTACAAAGACGAGTCTTACAAATCTCGACTTGGATCGAAATTCTGATGCGGACTTCTGCTTTATCCCCCTTTTTTTTTTGACGTTTTTGGTGATGCTTTTAGCAGACAACATTCAGCGACGCGTGTGTATATATTATATATATACACACACACACATACACGCATGTAGTATATGCGTGTGTGTAATGCTTTTAATACGAGTAGATGTATGAATGACAATGAAATTCCTGTTTTACAATAAAGTTGGGTCATAGGGATAATATTCCTTGCCCGGGACGTATGCGTATATGAAGACAAAGATTGCGGGTCGAAGTTCGTTGTCCGAAGAACTGCAAACCCTTTTCACTAACCGAGGAAACGCCATTTCCAGAACCACTGCGGGCTGTTCGCAGACCACATGGCACTATCCAAATTCGATAATACGTAATCGAATCTAAAAATAGTTTCACTTCAAACAAATTATAATTTAAAAAAAAATCAAATCTAAAACCAATCTGAAAAGATGATTGTTCTATTCGTTGCGTAATCCATATTAGTGATGGGTTATCCGAATTTTTATGTGGTCAAATCGGTATATTCCGTTACCCGAAATAATAAATCAATGTCCGTAGATTTCGGGTAAAAAATATCCGCAAATCCATAGGTTTCGGGCGGAAAAATAAACGCCCACGGCCCATGACTAATCTCTGAATGGTCGTTCAAAATCCACGCAGCAATAGCGGAGAGGGTCGAATGAGGAAACAAGCTCGCACAAATAAAGGGCCCAATAACAGAAAAGATAAAAGAGTAACAATGGGCTTATAAAAGCCCAATATAATAAAGAAGGGAAGGGCCCATGACTAGTCCAGGCCCATTAACCATTGAAATGACGGAATTGTCCTTGAGAGAGAAAAGGAGGGGATATTGTTGGAGAGAGATTGTGAAAGGGACTGAAAAGAGACAGCTGGGTGAAAGAGAAGGCGTCTGCCGTTCTGCCGGCTGCTCCGTACTCTTCTCTCTCTCTCTCTCTCTGATCACCCTTTTTGTTGTTGTTTCTATATCATTTCATTTTTTATTTTATTTCTTTAAAATATATATATAAATTGTTATGAATTGGCTTTTTACGATCGGAATTATAATTTAATTCCGTCACGCATTCGAGATTATTGCTCGGGTTGGGGCGTCGTGAGGTGTGTATTATCGGCAGCGTATTTTATTTTATTTTGTTCAATGGACATCATCAACTGCGTCTCTGTTTTCCGAGGAAGGGCTATTGATGGGACTTGGGCGCCTCCTACTCTCTCTCTCTCTCTCTCCCCTTTATAAATTTCTTCTTGAAATTCGTTAATTGATTTTTGCCCACCATTACGTACCATAAATAAATGAAAAATATTATGTTTTTGTCGTTTGGTTTTCGTAGTGATCACTTTGTCTCGCGGGGGTTATATGCATATAATTTCTCTCTTTCTACATTGAAACCAGTGAGAGGAAAATACGAAGACGCGAGTGAGTGGAGGTGGTGATTTTTTTTTATTTTTTACGAAATTGCCATCGAGAAACGGGAAAATTGGAAAGAAAAAAAAAAGGACTGTTGGGGGTTTTGTCATTTAGCACAGAGTTACCAGAGAGACCCCCCAAATGCCAAAAGATCATCGTCAATGTCTAAATAAATAAATAACACATGAAAATGGACCAACCTCTTCAAATATCTTAACTAACAATTGGTTGAATTATACGATTGGATAATAATAATAAGCTCTCTCATTCAATGTAGCGTGTTTTTAATCATGTAAACCGACCGAGTCGATTTTGGTTGATAAAAAAATCTAAGAAAATGCATTGGCTCGCAAATACGACACATATAAAATTCGAATCTTTTTTTTTTCCTACTCATTTATTGAAAAGGCTCCTTAGAGGAACACGTTTCACAATCCTAGAAGGAGACTTCTTTAAATAGCTACTGGTTCACGCCTCAGGCGCTGTTCTCTCTCTCTCTCTCTCTCTCTCTCTCTCTCTCGGCGAGTGGTCAGTCAATATCATCAGCGAGAGAGCTGACCATTACTCTCTTTTCTCTCTGAGACGCCTCCGAGAAGGTAAGAGGGGCGAAGAAGAGATACGGAAATAACACGGAAGTGGAATCGCCATGGTGGGTTTCTTGATCTTTGATATTCTCTAAAACCCTACCCTTTTTTCTGCTTTTGCGTTTGAATTGTTTTGATGAACAAGAAAATGGGGATTTTAGGAAAAGGGTCTCTTTGTTTATTTGCTGTGAATCATGCAGGTGGAATCTGGGGAGAATCCTGCATGGCTTGAGGTATTGATGAGGGAGAAGTTCTTTAACGCTTGTTTGGTTCACGAAGAAGCCAAGAAGAACGAGAAGAACATTCTCTGTCTCGACTGTTGCTTCAGCATCTGCCCTCACTGCTTCACCTCCCACACCTCTCACCGTCTTCTTCAGGTTCCTCTTCTTCTTACTCTTGAATTTGCCCATTTTCAGAGAAAAAAAGCATGAAATCATTCTCTTCTTTCTCGTGGGATTTTTTCAGATAAGAAGGTATGTTTATCACGACGTTTTGAGGTTGGAGGATGCATCAAGGTTAATGGACTGCTCTTTTATCCAGGTGCCTTTTCCTCTCAAAGTTCATAGCTGTTTCACTTCATCTCTCTTATTAGGGTTTTTAAGTTATTGATTCCTTGCCGAAAAAAAATAGGAAGAAGCGAAAAGGAGCTCATCTTCATGAGCTATATAGTGCCTAATTACACCTATGTTCTACAGTTAACACGCGTATTACGCGGATGATTTTAACATCTTTTTGATTGATGTTCATGCGATAGTCATACATAACGAACAGCGCAAAAGTGGTATTCATCAACCAGAGGCCTCCGACCAGACAGTTCCGAGGTTCCGGCAACATTTGCTGCACCTGCGAACGCAGCCTCCAGTCTCCTTATCTTTTCTGTTCCATCTCCTGCAAGGTTTCTCCTTCTTCCTTCTGCTAAAAGCAAACATCTTTTATCCATAATTGATCTCGTTTCAAAATTCTTTTGCGTACCCAGTTCAATTTTCCACCTTTCCTCATCTGGGTCGATGTTCGTTTTCCGATACACGCCAAATGTACGTGTATGTATCAGCGTATTCACACGTCGTGCCTTCTGAAACTGAAAATTGAAAAAAAAATGGTTTTATTTTTTGTCTATGGCAGATTGATGACGTCATGAAAAGACAAGGGGACCTCTCAGGGTTTCTTCGTGACTGCAAGTACCTTCCCTTAACGGAAAATGCATTAGACGACGGACTGATGACGCCGGACTCCACTCTCGAACCGGTCGGGTCGGCCCGGACGTCTTCCGGGTCGGGCGGCTACGGCGGCGTGGTCTGGTGCCGGACTCTCGCTTGCACCGCAGCGACGACCGAGATCGTTCGGAGGAAGAGGAGCAACTCGGCCGCAACTTGCCGGAGGATCACGGCGGCGTCTTCTACGGCTCCGGGAGCTCCGGCGAGTTTGTTGAACAGGAGGAAGAATACGCCGCCGCAAAGGGCTCCGCTGTATTGAAGATTCTAGGTCATACGGACGGGCTAGGGAATGGTGACTATAACAAACAAGTGTAGTACACATACATATGGTTGTCGTCGTCCATATTTTAATATATCTGTATTTAAATGGAGAAGAAAAAGGGGAGAAATACTAGTGTTGAAAATATTTATATTATATGCTAACCGGATTTTGTCTAATCTTTTTGCCACGTAACGGGGGAGGTCGATAAATACTTTTCAACTATTCAACATTAATAGCAAATGACCTATGCTTATCCCCCGCAGTAATTGCGCCTTGGGTTATCAAAAATAGTGTTTTGGGACATTGATACAAAAATTGGAAAGGATTAAAATGTGTCCTAACATATGGTTCGATCGTGAAATCGATATTCATATAATCGTGTGTGCTCTCGTTTTTTTTATCGAATGAAGAACATTCATATTCGTATAATTCAGACACTGAATCGATCTTATATTTCTTCACGCGCGAAAGGGTTTCAAGATCCGAAGGAGGTTGAAATTCAGTTGAGCAATTTGGGCTTCGGGGGGTATGGATGCGTTGTATCAAACCGGAGCTAAAGTCAAAGCGATTTTTACGTCTGTGGACCCCTAAGGTTTACTGCAGCTGCGTAGCCCTAAATTTACTGCGGCAAGGCAACCATCGGTTAGCATGGTTAGTAATCTTTTCATTAAATGCATTTGGACCGACCGTATCTTTCTTGGCTCAATCATCCCGACACGTTTTGGAAAGGGACGAGGTCGTCATCGAGAACTATATCTGCTGTCGTCCAATGAATTCATTCATTCATTGTTATTGGTGCAAAAGCAAGATAGTTGTTGTTACGAACGTAAATATCGTATGCAACGCATGCATTATCATTATTATTATTACTATTAACAAAGGGATTGGTTGGTCGTAGTAAATGTCGAGACGTGTTGCGATAATAAGAACACACCCACTCTGGTCTATTTTGTCTTTTATTTTGTTGTCCGAAGTGGGTTTTTTTTTTTGCTTGCACGACCAAAGGGACAAATATTACTAAATTTTGTTTTTATTTTTACCAAAAGAAGACAAAAATGTGGCACATATATTATTTTTATTATATATGTGTGTATGAATCTGATGAGAGAACAGTCGTTGGTCGTGCTCGTGGACGAATTCGGGACCACCGTGTTTTGCATATCTTACTTTTTCATGTTTTGGTTTGGACCATGCTAAGCACACATATAGTAGTCGTCTCTCATTAGGGTTGCCACCTCGCTTTGGATATAAAAAGAAAAGAAAAACATACTGAATTTTCGATCTGAAGTTTATTCGATGTGACAATCTAAATTGAATGTTAAAATAATAATAATAATAATAATAATAATAATAATAATAATAATAATAATAATAATAATAAAATCGTAGAAAAACAGAATCTGTTTAGAAAATGAATAAATTCGAACCCACATGTCTGTGGTCGAGTGGTATTGGACTGGAAGTGAGGGTGTTCCTCCTCCAGGTCAGGGGTTCGAATCCAGGCATGTGGGGAGGGAGAGGTATAGCCAAATGCTGTGTGTTCAAAGGCTATTTCCGGATCCAAGGAGATAGGTTTGGCCAAAGGCCGAAATCGTATATAAAAATCAATTAGGTATAAATTTTCGAAAGTTTATGATAATGGGCTCGGGCCACTAAGCCCATATGTGTTGGTAGTTACTGCCCCGTCTTGTCACGTGCGTGTAAGGTATGGTGGTGGCCCACTCGTAGGCTGTCGAAATTTTGAGAAGAGATACGAGGATTTGTCTTGGCTCGGCGTCACATATCATACCCCCCCCCCCATTTTGGGTAACGCTATTTTTCGGTGATGTTATTTTCGTAAATTTACGGGGCCCATTTTATTTCCCTCTTTTTTGGCATTTGATGCTTTTTAATTTCGCAAGACGAGAGAGGAGCTCTCGATTATTTATTTGTTTATTTATTTCAAGTTTTTTGTTTTTATATAAAATGATTTATTCGATTCTTAAATTTGTTTTCACTCTATTTGGGCTAACCTTACAACCGACACCTTTCTGCTTGATATTTTTTTGGGCTAATAATACAATCCTGTTTTTTTTTTTGTCGGCGGGGTTCCTGTTAATTGATGAGATAAACGATTATATATATATATATAATCAGAAATTTCACGACACCTCGAACCGACTACGCGTCTCTCACGATTCAGAGACAACATTTGTACCGCAATTAAATTGCGTACCTCCTCCCAAACCCTCAGCTTGAACATGGAATTTGGGACGGAGGATCCATTCCCTCTCAACCAGTTACACCACTCGGTTACGGTCTCTTGGATAAACCGATTATATTTTTACCGATACAATTATATTTACCTTTAGATTCAATGCAGAAAATCTGATTGGATCTGCAAGGGGAAGGGGATGAAGTGAAAAAATAAACGGAGAATGAGAAACATTAAAAAAAGTTCAAAACAAATACAGACTATAATAAACACATCAATACAGAGAAATGCTGAGACTGCCTTTCTCAGGGAAACAATCACAGAATCTAACAAACAAAATATAACCAGAGATGAATGCTTCACATAAACCAAATCCAAACAAGAGAGAGAGAGTTTTCAGGTGAAGCCTTTCCGCAGTAGTTCAAGAGCAAGCTGAGATCTACTGGAACATTAAGGTTAATCCCCAAGACATTGGCCTTAAGGGCAGTGCATAGACAAACAGCCGCTTCAACATCTGCCAGACCCTCGAGAAGAGTACAGCATGGTGTCTTTGGTGGGGCCCCTATGACAAGGTTAACCAAGCCATTCAACACATCAGCGCACACCCCGAGCTTAAGGGTATCGCTCGGGCAAGTCGGAATTGGGGGAGGAGCCTTCTTTGGGCTCTTTGGTGTTTTCGGGACTTTAGGGGTCTTTGGAGGGCAGTTAGTGGTGGAGGTTACCAATGTGAAGAACAGAAGGTTAAGGGTGAGAAGAAGAAGGGCTGATTTGAGAATCTTAGGAGTCATATCTTCAAATGGTGGTGGGAAATGATGCTTTTACAGTTTAGGTGCAGAAGGGAGGGAGTGTGATGATGAAGGAAACAGGGGTAGGGTTAGGTTTATATAGAAGAAGCATTAGAAGGTTGTGATATCAGAACTGAAACGGGCCACGGGCCACGTGAAAATAATGGAATAACAACAAAACCCTTCACTAGCTGGTCCTTGCAACTTGCTAGGCAGTGAAGTAATGTTAGTTTGGGACATTCTGCAATGTGTAGGAAAAAGACATATTTTTCACTTGTTTGATTGCAGAGGCTATGGCTCCACACGCTCATTCCTGAGCTGTTCCACCCTAGTGTCTCTAGATTTTATTTGGACCTCAAGATAAGATCCAGTGTACACTTTGATGAGTCAATTATACAGTGCATTATTGCTCCGGTCTTGTAACTTTCTCCGATTAGTAATAGACAATTTATAGTTCAAGCCCTACCCCTACAGCCCTATCTTCAATTCGGCTTGTTTCCAATCGGAAACTACCCTATTTTGATATGCAGTAAACGCCATAATTATCTTAAGATGGAATGCAAGATGATGGTAACCTATGGATGTGTGAACGAGTTTTTAAAGGTTACAAGAAAGAGAAAGTTAAGAGGAAGTAGAAAGGAACGTACTTGAGGATGACAGTGAAGCCAGTTTCTTGTTGGGTTTCATACGGTGCTGAACAATGCCAGCCTCACTGATGTGACCACCAAGGTGAAGAAGAACCTGTTTAACATCAAGATATCAAAAGGGATTTTACTGTTGAATCTCGTCCATGACATTATTCTAGTTCATACCCAAACTCAACAAGCCCCAAGCCTTTGGCAACAAAACCAATCGACAAAGAAAACCAACTATCTGAAGAACTTCCAAATGATTGGTCACAGCTTTGGAGTAAGAGACATATGCATGATTACAGTGAGAAATGACGGAGACAAACACAAAACCACTGTAAGTATTGCCTTTCGAGTGTTGCTCAGTTTCAACTTTCAACACCGGTCCAGATATGGAAATGAAAATCGTAGAATCCTGAAATATTTTCTTATGATAGAATCTGCTTAGGTACTGGCTGAAAGGTTAATGACTAGTTCCTATATGTACCCCATACTGAAATCTGAATTCAACATCATCGTTCTGTCAGGACAATGAGAAAGTGCATAAGCATACATCTTCTGCAATTTCCTTTTCTGTTTCAGGGGAGCTTCTACAAGCGATGACTGTACAATTACTTTAATCAAGTGAAACCCCATGGGAATATCTACATCTTCCCCCAAAATTTCTGGAAATGCCCGTCAAAAGGTGAAACATAATTAAGCTCCAAAACATTTAGTACCCGTAAAACCAACTCTGGATTCCATGATTTAAACCTAAAACTACTCCGAACTGCATTGCCCTAATAGGAAAGGACGACAAATCACAATCTAGACGAAACCTAACTAAGTCGAGACATACCTTGGCTTTGCAAATTGTGTCGATCTCTTCGCACAACCTGTCCTTTACCGAGTGGACTCACTGTTACTGACGATGACGAGTCCTGCAACTTGGCGATCCGATTGTTAAAGGCAGAAATCAGAGAATCGGCGATGATCCAGCTTCCTTGGCCCCTCTCTCTCTCTATAAAGTATTCGAATTCCGGGAGATGATTTTAGCGGGAAAATGTCAAGTGAACGCACAAAAGGGGATAAGTTTGGGCCATATAAAAATGGGCCTACATTTAAACAAAATGTGGCCCATATGTTACAGACCTTCTGAATGCCTTAGAGGCTAAGGGTATGGGAACTCGTCAAAAACAAAAAACATTGGCCCCAAAAAAAAATGGTAAATCTATATATATTAATAAAAAAGTTTAAAGAGATTTGGTGAAGCCACCTCATCCTCCACCTCATCAATTTTCTTAATTTTCATTGGTTCATAAAAGTACTCATTACCTATATACTATTAGAGCATTTACTTTATCTTTTTGGTATTTTATTAAACAAAATGTTAGATTACTATAACTAAAACATTTATCTTTATTATATTAAAAACTCACTTTGATATTAGTTTTATATACTATTTGAGATTTTTATTTTTATTAAACTTATATTTGTTATCTTGAATAAAAAAAATATTAATAGATTATAACAATAAAAAAATAAAAAAATGTATCTTTATTACATGAAAAAGACATAATTCTCTTGAGTAAATAGATAATACACAATAATTTCAAAACCAATATTGTAAAAAAAAAAAACTCTACAAAATCTAAAATGCATATTTATTGTCCACTAATAACTATATTTTGTGAAACGTGCTAGGTGTATATCTAAAATTAATACCTTACTAATGAAGGATTCCCACTCATCCACTAATGAATGATTCCTACTAATCCACTAATGCCGACGAGTTATTGCTATCATTGATTAAAAGGTGATTACCATTTGATTAAATGTGTAGTGTGTACTAAAAAGTGGAGGTTACCATCTTATTAAAAATAGTAACGGTTCTCTTAAATAACTATACAAATGAATAGATTATTGAGTGCGTAAAAATTAGAGTAATGAACAATTATTTTTTTTTTTAAAAAAAGTTTACAAGACTCTACAACCAATTAGAAACTCGGCTATGACTCTCTACATATTCAATTATATGGCTGTTGAGTGGACGTTACATCAGGTGATTCATTTAGCGTAATACAATTATATTCATCTTCAACATATGACTCTTTATTCACATACATTAATGTCTAATAATTAAATAATAAACTAACCAAAATAACGTTACTCAGAGGAGACTTCATCTAAAAAACCTTTGGCATTCCTAATGTTTTAAAATTATTTAACATACATAATAAATAAAATATTTTAGAAATTATCATAGTTAAAAAAAATCCATCTTTATATATGAAAATCTATTTTGATTTTATATATTAAAATGATAATAATTGTGTTACAACAAAAAACCACAATTATTTTTAAATTTTTCTCCAAACCCAACTATTTTAAAAATAATTTGAATTCCATTATGGAAATGGAATATATTACTCTTCTCTATCCATTTCATAAATGTGCATTGTCTCACCATTTTCAAGACTTAAAAAACGTAAAATTGATAGGCCTAACACCAAATAAATATTAATTTAAGATAATTAATATGTGCAATAAATTGATAACAATTGATAACGACAAAAGGGAACTAATATGTGAAATAAGATTATTAGGTGTTTTATTTCACTCACCATTTATTTTACGGAGCTCCAGGTTCGTGTTCCGACGGCCGGCATAAGTAGTTTCGTTCAGCAACTTCCCTATCATTATCTTCTTCTTTGCTGGAGCTGTCGAAGTAGGTATAGATCTCTCTCTCCTTCTTTTGTCAGTGTTTTTGACATTTGTCATAGACATTGATTTTCCTTCTCTTTGATTTTTGGATTCCTACATTTATCATATTCTGTAAACAAACTAACTCTACCCCATGTATTCTCCTCTAATATAGAATTTTCTATAGATACAGGAAGACAACAGAAAAACATATAAGTTAACAACTGCACAAATATATTTCTTGGTTTTCTATCTGACGATTGTCCAGAATTATCTGGCTTAAGATGGCGCAAACAAAGGATCCCGACTCTGCATTTTTCAAGAAACTTGACCTTGCGAGGTTACCGAACTAAAGGTCAGTTCATATGTCTTTGTAGTCTATGGTAGGGGTGGGCGAACGGTCGGTTACGGGTTAATCGGTTACGGTTATTTCGGGTTCGGTTATTTCGGGTTATTAAAACTCATAACCAAACGGTTAATTAATTTTATTCGGTTCGGTTCGGTTCGGTTTCGGTTCGGTTCGGCTCGGTTTTGTCTATTTAAAACTATAACCAAACTATAACCAAATAAAGATTCGGTTCGGTTCGGTTTCGGTTCGGTTATAATATTTAAAAAATCAATTCATTTATAATTAGAAATATTCAAATATAATATATTATAAAATATTATCATAATTATTTTAACATATAAAATAATAATATCTAAATTTATATTTTGATATAAAACTATTAAATAAATAAAGATCATTTTTTTTCTAATGTTTATATCATACAAACTTTAAAAACAATAATAACAATGATAAAATGCATTTAAAATATAATAAAACAATTATTAAATCAAGAATATAAACATTCATATATGTATATAAATATATATAAATGATGATATATAAACAGTTCGGTTCGGTTCGGTTCGGGTTCGGTTATTTCGGGTTTCAAAAAATCATAACCAAACGGTTATTTAATTTTATTCGGTTCGGTTCGGGTCGGGTATTTATCGGTCGGGTTCGGTTCGGTTATTCGGGTTCGGTTATTTTGCCCACCCCTAGTCTATGGTCTGATTTCTATTCCAAACTGCAAAATTATTTGGATTTTCTTTATGTTTTATCTCTCGATCCATTACTCGAGATGATCTTGATTAACGTGGTATATCGCATGCGGATATGCTCAACTGAATACAGGGGAGTGCTTGTCCAATTCTTAGAGATGACAAATAGATATGCTCAAGAGATGCAATCTATGAAAGTCTTCAGTTCAACCATTCGCTAGAAAAGAAGACATAATAGAACCCATATGATCAAATCCTAAAACAAACCTCTTTCTTGTAGCAAATGGTAATTCAAGAGTTGTTTTCCCTTTTTTCAATGGTTTTGATACATATATATACGTATATATATATGGGTATATATACATGTATATATATGTGCATGTATGTATTTATATTTTTTATTGTATATAATATAATTTTATTTTTATTTTTATTTTGCGTTTTTTTTTTCATGTGGCAATGATGATATGATATTTTTATGTGACAATGAGATGTCCTTCCATTTGTTAAATAGTTAACAAAGTTGGAGAAAATGTAGATGTATGGCAAAATTTATTAAGTTTTTGTATTTTGTGTTCATATATATGTATATGGAACTTTATTGAAAGTATGCGATTTTTAGTTTATTCACCCATACATATATAGTATATGAAGACTTAAAAGTGTTGTAATAATTAACGTAAAAAAGTTATGGATTGTTTAACATGTTCGACTATAATAAATATACCTGTACGAAAAAATCTTTCTCTCTTTAAAAACATGGTTTTGTACTAAGTATTACAAGTATATTCTTTAAATCAAACTTTACTAAATTTATATCAACATTATAATCAATACAAATTGTAAAAGATCCATTGATAGAAGACTCTGGTTCCATGGAATTCGCAGCTGGAATCGAGATCCGTTTCTCCGGATGGAGACGATAGAGGACTCTGGTCTTCTTCTTGCTGGTTCGACCGCTACGCCGTCGTTTTCGAGTTTAAAGATGACACATACTTGGTTGTCATGAACCGACGTCGTTTTGGGGGTTATATGCCAAGAATCTACAGAGAACAACGGAACGTGAAGCGAAAAGATGACGAAAAATACGAATAGCTGAAAATGGAAACCCATATTCGTTTCTGATCGTTAGAATTTTATTGTGGAGAAGGAGGAAAAAAATATAAACATTTTATATTCATATCAATATTTTTCATAACGAAAAAGTAAACATTTTATATTAACAATAAAAAAAATAATCCGCGCATCGCGCGGATCTCTTCTAGTAATAGTTAAATGATTTTGTAATGTTAACAAGTTGGATAATAGTTAATGTTTTACCTGCAATCATTTTCTTTCTAATTTATTCTATTTCAACAATTATCGTGTTGTTTAAGAAATAAAAATGTCTTAATAGACGACTAACTATAATATTGCACCATTAACCTTGTATTTTTTTTTATAACTGTAACCATCCACATTGTTTTAAATGAAAAATAGTCAAATATTAAAAAACAGGTTATGTGCAATCCGCATATAAGAGCCTTGCGTCCTACCATGACCATCAAGTTACTCATAATAATAATAAACAAATTAGGATCAATTTAAGGAATGTTTAAAGCTAATATATACGTCATCACATCACAATTGCATATAGTAGACTCAGTGATTCGCGCATACATATGCATGCATGTATGCATGCGTGCATGCGTGAATATATACAATTAAAAGGGAGAACAACAGCGTTCATAAATATTAACATGGAACATGATAAATACTTAATCACGAGGTCTCTGCGTCAAGATTGAAACATTGTACTTCAATTAAATATACAATATTATCATAATAACGTATGATATATATATATATATTATAAAGTTTTTAACTTTGTTGTGTTTTGGACCGGGCAAAGGTCAAAACGTGGGAAAACATATATTAATTTCGATATAAACGGTGAAAGGAAGTTAGTTATGGTGAGGAGGGTGCGTCGAGGGTTGCATGTAATCGAGGTTGAATCCAGGATGTTCCTCTCTAGGACCCTTCTTCTTCTGCGGCACCTTCCATGGCCTCGAAACTCTTTTAGACGACGCCGTTGCATCTGATGAAGCCCGTTTTCCTCTTTGTTCACCCTCAATCTTCGCATTCCCGTCTTCAAATCCAACTTCCCCGTGACCGGATGACCGACCGAACTTATCGATCTTATCGGTCCTCTGAGTCTCATCAAGACCTTTTCTTGTTACGTCGGCCTTCTCTTTTAACAAAACTCTCGGTTTATGCTGGTCGCATGAAAAATGAAAATCCGTAAGTGTATATACAACACTACAATAATCTTGTACATTTACATGCACGTACGTTTTCACGTTCAAATTCACCAAGCTTGTGAAGGTTTTGCATATATATCATAATTTGTTTCAATGAATCAAATTTATATGCAAGTTTGCGTACAATGATAAAAAAATTGTCCTAAAACAAATATCAGATGCTTACCTTTGTGCTTGATGAGTGATTATGGTCCATATCGAGCTTCGTCTCCACGGTGGCAAGACGTCGAGCAACACATAACTGAAGACATAGAAAGAGGAGACATAATACAAGAAGGCGATACGAGCTTGTAGAGACATCCATCTGATCACAGATACCGGGAAGAGAAGATCGGTCTGAATAACGAACAACGAGAAACGTTGACGAAGCAAATGTATAGCAAAAGGGCGTTTCTTGGGAAGTTGGGCGTCGTTGAGCAAAGCGTGGTAGATATTTGTAAATGGAGAGGAGATCGAAACGTTATAAATGCAGATAGAGGAGTCTATCTAAAAGAACATGCAAATGTATGGGTAATGAGAGGAAAAGAGCAGTGAAGGTTGGATATGGAGGGTCCTCTCCTGTACCTCTCTACGACCAATTCCCATTGAACGGGTCCCAGGGAGAGATATCGACCGCGACCCAACCACAGAAACAGAAGAAACCAAACACTTGTTTCGCTCAACTAGTTATAGCACTTGAGAGAGAGAGAGAGAGGGGGGAGATGTATTAATTGTAATGTTAGGTCGCATTATATTAATGATGCGAAAATCTAGCGAGCGAGCCTTTGAAAATCAATTGAACATGCTTGGGTTGACTATCCCAAGGAATTCAATTGATAAGATCGTACTCTTTTGTCTTTGTCCAATGAGTTTAAAGCACTTTTGTATGGTTTTACGCCTTCCTTGTAACTCTTTGTCTCCCTGAGACATTGTCTTTCTAAATATCGGGAAGCTCAACTCAACACCGCGTATCGATATTTTCAATGGCGAAACAAAGTGGGAAGCCTTTTCGGGCAAATATAACGGCATTCCCCAAGTATATATGTTCCCGTTTGTGACATTTTATCGCAAGGGGACAAAAATGTAAAATTGTATATGTGGCGTGTAATATATATACATGCATACATGTGTATAAAACTAACCATGCATATTGATGAGATTTGAAGCTTGTTGGAGTTTCGTGCAGCGGAAATAAAATCGGGATGAATATGAAAAAAATGATTAAAAATAATAATAATAATATAAAGATTTAAGTGTAACAATCTTAACGGAGTTTTTTTTTTATTTAACAATCTTAACAAAGTTGATTAGTCAACCCAACCTGGGTAGTTCAACCGGTGAAACGAGGGCGCAAAGCGTCTGTCCCGCCCCGAGTTCGAACCTCATGCTGGGGAGGGAGCGCATAATTCAAATTACATGGCTGGCTCTCGGCCCCGAGATTAGTCTGGGCCTCGGCCCAGAAAACCCGGTTACCAAAAAAAAAAAGTTGATTAGACATTTCGCAATTTGGGGTTTTCCTCGAAAAAAAAAGTCATAATCGCTTTGAATTCTAATAGTTGAAATTTTATTCGTGTGATCTGATACACGAGGGACCCATGCATGTCAAACTTTTAAATATTCTTTGTTTTTTTCTTCCTCGAAACGTCGACCTAAGATTATATACCATTCGATTCTTCCTGATGCTGCAATCAATCCGTTTATTGCGACCCACATATAATTATTAATTTCCCCCGACATATATTGTTTCGTCGCTTTATTATGCATGCATGCACGCACCTGTTTACGATATAAATACAGTGACGCTTCAGGTTGCCGAAAATATATTTGTAAAGTTGAAATATCTGAATGGGAAAATACAGACACATAGCTTTGCTGAATATAAGGGTTCATGAATTTGTAATGCAAAAGTGTACAAAAATACTCGAAAAATATAGCATTATCATTATACCAACAAAAATATCGGAGAGAACATAATTTGGGAAATTCAAGGTGCGCGAGTGGGGCCAAAGCCACGTATGCAAGGAACATAAGGAAGGTGTGGGGCCTACAATGTCGCGGAAAGGTGGGGTCCATGCTTTGCAAGAAGCAGACAAGGCTGCGTGGACCACCACCACTCTCTGCCTCCTGCCACCAAGTTGGTTCCCACGGAGCCCTCTTCACCGGTTCGTTTGACACGTGTCACTTCCCCATGTGCTTTGTACCTCCGCCACGTGGACCTCGTCCCCACTAGTGGCCGCCATATCCCGTCCAGGATCAGCGATGTTTAATGGCATCATTAGGATCATAATCACACCGAATTTAAATAAATCAAATCAAGGCAAAGCAAGCATTCATTTATGGATACATAGGACATTGAATTTGAGAGAATTCAACAACGGAATAGAGAATCTGGGAAAGATTTTCTAATTGGATTGGTATGAAATGAAGCATACAAAGGTATCTACACTACATTAAACCACACATATATAAACCCTAATAAGAACCTAGGAGTACAACAAAGATCATGTCCTATGCAAATCTCCTAACTAGGGCACTTTTCCACGATCCTTGGAGATACAAATATTAAATGCATTTAGGAAAAAAAAGACAGATATATGAGAGGTGAAAGAAACGAAGACAGAACCAAATATTACATCTAAATTCACCCAAACAATTAAAACCCTAATTCTTCCGGCAATCAACACACAGAAGCCGCGTCTTCTGCCATTTCATATTCACTGAGAAATCGAAAGGAAAATGATAGAAACTTACACGGAGATGCCGATCGAATTAACTGAGAAATATTTTATCAATTTCTTTGGTTTCGTCTTTGTAACTCATCTCCGGTGAAATTATATTGTATATCTTGCATACCATAAGAAACTAATAGATTTTCACAAAAAAAAAATATTTTTTAAGCTTGGTCCATGATGGCTATTTTGGTTATTAATCAAATAACCACGAGAATAGTTATACTTTATCTAAACCCAAAATCAAAATCGAATCGAAACGATTATGAAAAATAACCGAAAAATTGATATTTTTTTTAAAAAAATAAGTTTTTTATAACAAAAAACGAATACGAATAGGATCGAATTTTATATAAAAAACTAAAACAGAAATAACCAATGAGCGAAATGGTGGATCAAGGCCCATAATTTGGACGAACAAATGAGATTCCGCTAGGCCCGTTAAGTGTGGGCCCCAATGATTAGTGAGCTGTCTGTACTTTCTTCTTGGGCTCTCAGAATTGCATACTAGAGTTTGTGACCGTCTGTTGGCCCAAAATCCTAAAAATAAATAATGAATTAAAACAAAATTAATCTCATAATAATTTTCAATGTTGAAACATTTTATTTTTTCGTTTCATTATCAACACTTTTACGAGTTGAATAAACCCTAAAAGATAATAAGCCTAAGCACACCATCCTTGCTTGATTTGGAACTTGGGTTTCCACTTAAGGGACAAAAATTGGAATTTATAATGAATGATAACATTATTATTAAAATGTATATTATTATAACTACAATATAGTGGAAAATCCACATGGGGTGTTTGGGAAAACCACGTCTCTCATAATGACAACGTTCAAAGACATTTTTATTTGTTTGTTTGGAAATAATGGGGACTTGGCTTAGGACAATACATAAGCATGTCTCCCTTTCAAGCATACACAACCCACCAAAAACTTTCAATATTTGTCTTGGGAAAATCCAACGGTCGAGATGTCCTTTCTAGTTATTATAAATTATGACAACTAAATGATCATTTTTTTTTTGGCTAATGTTTTCTAGACATGTTATATATAATCTTATAATTATATGAAAAAATAAATACAGATAAAGTTTTTTTTAAAATGTAAAGGTTAGATTTTCAGTATAATATAAAGACATGTTTTAATAAAAATAATAATGTGGATTAAGTTTTTATATTAGAGACTTGTCAGTTTAGGTCACCACCACTACTATTACAGTTATAATTATTTTTTTATTAACGCTAAAGAGGGACATCCAACGCGATCTACAGCCACACGATCTTCTGAAGGGAATAGATCTGAGCCGTTGATGGTTTTGTCCTCGATATCTTCAAAATCTCCAAAAAGCCACACTCAATGAGCTTGGGGTCCGTCAGATTCAGTTTCGAAAACCAGGCCAAGCTCCTGCAGTGTTGTTCCCCTTTAATTACCGAAGTGCCCCTCCATCGTCCGTTCGGCCAGAGCTCGTGGAGGGGTATTTCGGGTATTATAATAAATAAACAAGTGAACCATCTGCGTCAAATTCACCTTTTCCTCTGCTTTCCCTTGGTATCCGTAAAGTATTTTAAACAGTTTTTCCATATCTACGTTTTGACGCGCGCCACTCACCTCTCTTTTTTTTTTTTTTTAATTTTTATATAAAAAGTTACCAACTTCCATTTACATCCACTGCTTTCAAATATATATAAAAAAATGTTTACAACCAAAAAAAGATTTCCCCTTTCAGGTAATAGAATAATTTCATCTAAAGAGATTCGGATTTGTATCCATATTTTGGGATTTGTATTTAGCCGAAAATTCAAAATCTTTTTTAAAGTTAGTAGAACATTATTTAATTCAATTTAAAATTAGGGTTTGTAATAAACATCATTAGAATAGCGTAGAGTTTTCATGGTTAGTAGAAAAAAGTAATTAGTACACCTAATTTAGCAGTGAACAGAATGTGGTGTAGCGAGAGTGGAGTCACGCGCTGCGTGCGCGAGTAGGATTAGTAACATGATGACAAGAAGATTACAAATGCACATCTTCATCTACGCCACAAAAAGAAAAAAATCCTCAAAAACATTAAATAAAAAAAGAGGTAAGAGAAAATAATTTAGAGAGAGAAAGGTTGAGAGATGAGAGAGAGAGGCCACTTTTACCACTTTTATATGTTGCACGCATCCATATAACAGCACAGGGAAATACAAAAGGAAGGAAAGAGATTATTATTGAGGAAAAGTGGGCGCCAATTACAAGTTTTGAGCTCTGCATGTGTTCTTCTTCTTCCGTACACAATCTCTCTCTCTCTCTCTCTCCTCTTTTGTTATCTTCTTTGTTCTGAGATCTAGGGTTTCTTGGATTTTCACTGTTTCCTTTTGCTCTGATCGCTAACTCCTCAGACACGAAGGCCATGCCCCTACCCTTTGAACAATTTCAAGGGAACGGGGTCCTGGGTTTGTCTTCTCTCTGCTCAGATTCTCCCTTTCAAGACAAAATCTGGGCAACTTCCGAGGAAATCTCTGATGATTTCTTCCATCTGGTCGGAAATAATGGCGGTTTCCCTGAGCCGACCTCTGTCCTCGACGCTCTGAGAAGCCCGAGTCCTCTCGCTTCCTCCACCACGACCACGCTGTCTTCCTCCCACGGCGGCGCTGCCGCCGCCTCCGTCGCCGATGAGAAATGTGGGCAGATATGCTTGGAGGATCTCGACGGAGTTCTCTCTGGCTCGCCGGTTCAAGAACAGAGCATCCTCAGGCTAATCATGGGTGATGTCGGAGACCCGGGTCCGGGGTTCGGGGCTTTGGATCCGGGTTTCGGGTTCGGGTCTGGGTCCGGGTCGGTGATTGACGGTCTCAATCCTCTGTTTACTTGTGGTTTACCGCTTCAAGCTGCGTTTCAAGACCAACCCATTGTTCCCTTTGAAGAAAAGCTTCAGATTACGAATCCTGAAGCTGTAATAAACCAAAATCCGACTCTTTTCTTTCCGGTTTCGAGCTCTCCGTCGTCTCCGCCGGCCAAGCGGCTCAATTTGGGTCAAAACGGGTCTCAACCCGATTTTCACCAGAGCCAGAAGGATTTTCCGTTCTCGGATCCGGGTCACGACCCGTTTCTGAGTCTCCGGCAGCAACCGCCACCGAGGCTGGCTGGTGACGGCCAGTCTGCAGCCAATTACAAGTTTTGAGCTCTGCATGTGTTCTTCTTCTTCCGTACACAATCTCTCTCTCTCTCTCTCTCCTCTTTTGTTATCTTCTTTGTTCTGAGATCTAGGGTTTCTTGGATTTTCACTGTTTCCTTTTGCTCTGATCGCTAACTCCTCAGACACGAAGGCCATGCCCCTACCCTTTGAACAATTTCAAGGGAACGGGGTCCTGGGTTTGTCTTCTCTCTGCTCAGATTCTCCCTTTCAAGACAAAATCTGGGCAACTTCCGAGGAAATCTCTGATGATTTCTTCCATCTGGTCGGAAATAATGGCGGTTTCCCTGAGCCGACCTCTGTCCTCGACGCTCTGAGAAGCCCGAGTCCTCTCGCTTCCTCCACCACGACCACGCTGTCTTCCTCCCACGGCGGCGCGGCC